CCAAAGTGAAGTATCGGCCGTATTGTTATGAAAAGTGATATAAAACGTTAACCGTTACGTGGGAAACGTACGTATAATTGTTTGACCGATAATTTTCGCCGTCGCATGTTCCCGCAAGAGGTCGGTTCGATCAATTTTAAAGGTGATTCACGCGCGGGTACCTAACCTGCAGTTCGGATAGCGCTGAATCGTTATTTTATTGTAACTAACGAAATATTTCCTACTGGGTTTGTCCATAGTATTTGAAACGTTTCTCAAAAAGGTAAAGCGCAAATTAATTACGGTGTGCACTACGAAAGAATTCGTTACATAGTAATCCAGAGGAATTCCAACTAATTACGCAAAGATTTCCACTTATTCCAGAGGAATTCAAAAGAATTTCTTATGATTTTGATAATTGGAGAGGAATTTGAGCTAATTATACACGAGTTAAGGTGTGCAGTATGAAAGAATCCCAACTAATTGCAGAGGAATATCAACTTATTACAATGCTCAGTAAAAAGCAATTCCAACTAATTACAGAGACATTGAGAAAAATACCATGTAAATTGCAACTAATTACAAAGGAATCCCGACTGATTGGAGGACTTCAGATGAATTCCGCCAATAATTTTTCCGGTTTTTCAACGGCATCTCTGAGATTTAGATTCGTTTATACAATTTAACAGTCTGGGTAACTTGGATTCCAAGATATCCACGACGTGCATCGTTTATCATTGACGCGCTCTGTAGAGTATCCAGTTTGCGACTTATCTCGATCCTCGATCAAAGTTGGAAGGTTACAGTTTTAACAATCCTGTCTTACTAAACTTTCGCATAAGTTTTAGCTAAGTACAAAACTGACTTACAGTATTTCCATTTTGAATACTGCTCCTTCCTCATATGTTGTTTGTGCCGATGTCGATTCATGGACTTTTTTGCATGGAACAGTGTAAAATATGTATTCGTCAGTATGTATTTGAAAAATGGACTTAAAATTCCAAAGTCTGCAATGAAATCCTCCTTCAAAAAATTATGTCATAAATATGAATATTTTAATGCTCTGAATATATATATATATATATATATATATATATATATATATATATATATATATATATATATATATATATATATATATATATATATATATATTGTAAAATATCATAAATTTAGTTTTTTTTTTTAATTCATTTAATACGTTAACAGCATTAACATACAAACATACAAAATAGGTTTGAGCGAGTTGTAAGATAAAGAAAGAAAGTGTAGTAGTAGTAGTTATGCGCAGTATTTGTTATGACTTGACAAAAGTTAGTTGAAAACCTATCTTTTAATTGTTTACGTTCTGTATCAAATATTTTGGTAAGTTTTGCAGAAAGGTTATATTCTCTATATTTTGGTTAAGCATTCTTTTATTAAATTATTAATATTTTTCTTAAACAAGTTTTATTTAATTTCAGGTTATAGAATGTCTCAAATTTGTAAGAATTCTATATCTTGTTTTTGCTACATTTGTGGTGAGTTTACTCTAAAAATGCAGCGAAATGCCATAACGGACCTTGTTAAAACATCAGCTTTATTTTGGATTTTCTATCGACGAGAGGGATAAAAGTTGGCTGACAAAAATATGTTGTAACAATTGCTTAAGAACGTTGAGAGGTTGGCTTGAAAGTAGTCACAAATCTATACCGTTTACGATTCTCTAAAAATGATTCTCGACAAAAAGTAAGATTATATATCCGAACATCGCACCTGCAAAGAGACCAATTCCACCAGAAAATAACGAAAAGATGGAAAACAAAAATACTTCAGATCTACAGCCTCAATCGAGTTTTATTTCTGCCTGTACATCTTCATCTTCGTACACTTTATCTAGATCTTCAAGTCCATCAAAATAACTCCACTTACTTAAAGAATGTGAGTTAAATAATCTTGTTAGAGATTTGGAGCTTTCCAAATCTAAAGCACAGTTAATCGGATCAAGATTAAAACAGTGAAATTTGTTGAATAAAAGTACAAGAGTCTTATATTTTTGCACAAGACAAGACGATTTTACGAGTTACTTTTCGATAGAAAATGTTTTAGTACATTGTAATAAGAATTTAGTTTTCCAAGAAATTCTGATGAATGTCGAGTTTTTATCGATGCCTCAAAGATAAGTAGGAAAGCCGTTTTACTCCATAATAGGAATAAATACCTCATCAGTGCCCGTTGCACATGCAACCAACATGAAAGAAGTTTATGCAAATCTGGAGGTATTACTTGAAAAAATAAAATATTCTCAATACCTATGGAATATTTGTGCTGATTTAAAAGTTGTCACTATACTTACTGGATTACACACAAGTGATGTTGTTTTCTATGCGAGTGGGACAGCCGCGAGCAAGGGAAAAACATTACAAAGTCAAAACTTGGCCATAAAGAAAAAACTCGACTCCTGGACTCAAAAATATATCTCATAAACCTTTAGTGCCAAGTGATAAAATTTAAATAAAGTTGGGACTCATGAAAAACTTTGTGGAAGCTATGCACAAGGATGGTACATGCTTTCAATATCTCGAAACAAAATTTCCTCGAATCAGTGACGCAAAATCAGGAATTTTTATAGGTCTACAAATACGCGAGCGTGTGACGGGCGGAGCTTTTAATTCGAGGTTGAACAAAGGCAGAAAAAAGTGCTTGGGTGACTTTTGTAAATTTATATCATAATTTTCTTGGGAATAGTAAAGCTGACACCGACAAATTATTCGAGAGATTCTTTCTGCTTATAAAGTTTTCGGTGCCGTATTAGATGAGCATGGTGAGAGATTTCATCAGGATATTATCCAAATTGAGAGACGCTACAATGGAAAATGGTCAGCAGCAATACTTGCTGATTCCTGTTGGTCGATTCGCCGATAAACTCCGATGGAAACGATGAAAAAAAAAGTACAAAGTAACTTGTGTTTTATCACCATAATGAGATATTTTTATTGATATTGTAAGAGTAAAATTAGCATTTTCCACATTAAAACTTAGACCGCAATATTTTTTATTATTGTTGTTACTTTAATAATATCGTTTTTCAATTAAATTAACATTTTATTCACAATCTATGTGTTGTACTTTGTACTGTTGAAAAACATAGAGCAACGGGCGAGACTATATGTTAGTCGTTAAAAAGATACAATGTGTTCAAAGTAAAATTTAATTTTCGAAAGATTTTTATAATTATTAAATAGATAAAGACATTAACATCATTGACAAAGGAATAATAATAAACAAATTTTCCAAGCCACAGTTCGTAGATCGCAATCCGTAGATGAGCAGCAAAACTAAAAGCAAAGTCCCAGGTGGAGGGAGGTTATAGAACTTAGGTAGCTCTACTACTCAATATCTGAAAAAATGGCTTAAGATGTCAATTTTGAGCAAGTATGTTTTTCACGCATCTCTTGTTCAGTCTCGTTTTATCTTCTGGATATCTTGATTGATATCAGTTTTCTTTTATCAGAGAACAGTTTTCTTATTTCTTGGAATAATGAAGGGGATTCTGTCTCAAGCAGCCTATAGAATTTCCTTAGCAAAAGTTTCTGTTTCTTTATCTAGCTTTTCTTCGTTTCTTAAGCGGACTGACAAATTTATATTTTCATCAATCTGTAGTTTGAAGTTGCGCAAATCGGTCAATTTATTAACTAATCTAGGAACTTTCTTTTGAATAATGCTATCTTTATGTGTGAGAAGGATGGTGGAGTGATAGGAGTTCATGTCACATTTTAGTCCTTTGGTTGCTTGTAAAAGTTCTGTTCCCTTAGTTGTTGTTAGTCTGGATCCCCAATTCGTGTGCTTGGCGGTGTACTCACCTCCATGTCTTGGCGTATACTGCTAAATGTACGATTTCATATGTTCTCGTAACTTCGAATTCTTCTGTTTTATATCCGATGGTGTTTAATTGATTGTACTACCTCCTTTTGCTGCGTTTTCATAATGTAAAGTCCCATACATCTAATGAAGGAGTCGTTGGTAAAATGTGTTTCGGATATAATATCAATGTTTTCTATATCTAGGAGTGCTTGCAATTGTTCCTGATGTTGCAATTGGAATTTGACATTAAACTTCTTAGGGATCGGTCCTTTGGTGCTATATTCTAATCTAATAATACGTTCATCAGTTTCCACTAACCCCTATAATATTTGTTGCAGAGTCTTATAGATGTGTTTGGTTGTGTTTTGTTATTAATTTCAGTTTGAGGCCCATCAGAAATGGTTTTTTCTTGTTCTTCTATCAACCCTGGCTTGGGCTATTTTTATTCTTTGTGGATGTTTGGCTTTCATCTTTTGCATTTCTTTTGATGTTATGCGTCCTCTATAATTGGCTGTCGCCCTCTACAATGAACGCACTTTGGCTAAGTACTCTTGTCACAGTCGGATGTTAGATGTTTAGCGGTACACCTAACGTACCGTGGACCTTTGGAACAAAATTTTTGCATATCAGGCTTGACACTTTACGCACTGGGGTACAAATCTCGATTACTTTAAGTATATCTGTAATTTCGTAGATCTTATCGACAGTTTCGTCATGTCCAAATGAGAGCATGAATATCTTAAACGGTTGGTTATTATTCACACAGAACATTCTTTTTTATTTAATGCTGCAAATAGCATTTTAAAATCATTTTCATTTTGTACATTAATTTTGATTAATTTTTGTCGTTAATGAGTTTAATCTGAGCATTATAATATTATAATAGGTGGACATACCCTTACTTTTTTAGTTTGAGCTTGTTTTTGTTGTTGTGGTGGTAAGAGACGTATCCATTTTTCTTTTCTTAGAACTTAGAAAATGAAAATAAAAATGACATATGAAGATATGATAGAACATATTTATAGTACCTAAAACGCTTAATAATAATATTGACATATGTCTACTTGGTCATCCACTTGATTCACCCTGTACATACGATTTGATTAGCGGACGATTTTTGAAGTAAAATACTCTAAGCTTGGTACCGCCTTTCCAACCCGAACGTCTTCTTGTTTCAGACCGAGTCGACGAGCCCGAACAATGAGGAGGCGACGAGCCAGGATTTGAGCCAGAGCGGCGGCGAAACGTCCAACAACGTTTCGGATTACGCGGGGCAGCCCCTCTTCAACATCGTCTACCCGGGGTACTACGTCGAAGGCCCGGCCGGTCCCCCGAACGGTACCGCGCCCCCGCCCCCCGACCGACCCGAACTAATCCCCATCGTCTTCTCACCCGCAGATTTAACGAAGAACTCCCCCGCGCCGCAACCCTCCGAACCCGTCGCGAAGAAACTGAAGAAACGACGCGAACGGAACACGTCCAAGACGATCGTCGCGGACGAATGTTCGTCCGACAATTCGGACGAACGTTCGTCCGACGAGGTGACCTCGAAGGATAAAACCGAAGAAACCACCACCCCACCCAAGACTGACGAAAATATCGCAAAGACTGAAGACGAGGAACCGCCGCAACAAAAGTACTGCCTAAAACCGGACGCGGAAGAATTCGTGCCCAGGTCGTACCGCCAGGGTTTCCGCGCGCCGCCGCAACCGCCCGCCGCCATATTGCCGGCCAATTTCGTTCCGGTCCCGATAGTACCGTTAAACGAGTACGGCGCCCCCGCCGCCGCCGCCGCCTTCATCCCTCCGGGGATACCGATAAACTTCTTGCCCCATCCGGGACAGAAGATGTTCCACCCGGCGCCGTTCTTCCCGCCTCCGCCGTCACCGCAATCGCCGCCCCACGAAGCGAAAAACGAAGAACCGAGGCAGAACGATGGCCAAGACAAGCACATAAACGTCATAGATATCGAGACGATCGTGTCGAAGCTGGAGGAGGCCGCCAAAGAACAAGAAGAAGAAGCAGATGGCGTACCGAAATCGACCAACAAAACACCTTCCAACTTGAACCATCGGTCGCCATTTAAGAGGAACCACTATAATGGCAGGTACCGTCGCGGCTCGCCAATGAGGAACGGAGACTTGCAAGAGCCGGTACCGGCGAAACCACCCGCGACCAGGGCCCAAAGGAGTTGGGTCCCGAACGGGTACCATAATCAAAAGCACCAAAACGGGTTCGCGAGTCCCAAACGTAACGCGCCTGCCGGTAAAAATTATTCAGAAATGCTCAAAAAATCACCGCCCAATGTCGGAAAGCAACGCACCACCGCCACCGCCACGGAGAAGACTCCCGTGAAATCGGCCAGCAACAGTATTTCCCACGCGCCGAACCAGTGGATCTCCGTGTCCAGCAGGAAAAAGAAGAAAGGCAAGAACTCGGAAGAGCCTTCTATGCCTCAAGACGACGAAGGCTCTCGGGACGACGGTTTCGAGGCGTACGACGTGACCCTGTTGGAGGACGTGGTACCGTCGAAAGCCGAGGAACCCGAGCGAAAGGAAGAAAATGAGAGAAATCAAATCGATGAAATTCTGATGACTTTGGCACAAAAAATAGCGAGCTCTACGAACGCGGAGGTAGCGATGATGGAGGTGAGCGATATCGAGAAGCACATGCTCGTGAAAATGGAACCGGAACCTCCAAGGGAACGCGAAGTTGAAACCAACGAAATCCCTGCCTCCTCGGAAGAAGAGGAAGCGAGGATCAAAAAGAAATCGAAGAGGCCCGCTCAAAAGACGGCCATCAAAAAGGTGATCATCACGGACGTGGATTTTTCGGACGCCGTCAAGCCTCAAGTGAAAACCGTCAAACCCCAGGTCACTCCTCCCGAAAAACCGGCTCAACCCGAGGAACAAATCGCAGTGGAGCCTCGAACGGAAGAGCCCGCGGTGACGGAAAAGAGGTCGAAGAAGAAGAAGAAGAGCAAAATGCCGAAACCCGAAACTAAAGATGTTCCGACCAAGTCGGAGGAAGCGTCGTACGATTTCCTTATGGAGGAGAGCCTCCTCGACGAGAGTTCGGACAAGACGAACCTGGAAGTGTCGTTGGAGTTGGACAAGCTCATCCGGAAGGGCATGTACAGCAATCTAAAGGAGCGAATCGAATCGTGCAATATAGACGCGGCCGAGGACACGTTCTTCCGCACTCTGCGGACGACGACGACCGACAAGCGTCCGACGAAGACGCCAGACTTCAACCGGATATTCCAGAGCACGAGGCAATTCCTGAAGCCCAACTCGGTAAGTGTTGAAGAACGACACGGAGCCGGTAGAGGCGACGATATTAACGAAACTGTCGATCCAGACGTTGCCGATTCGGCCTCTGGATCTTTTTTAGAGGGAAACCTCGAAACTGAAGAGCCTAGCACCATTAACGATATAGACGATGATAAGACGACGAAAGACGAGGACTCCAAGAAGCTCTATCCCATTACCGAGGCGGTAAAGGAGTGGATGAGCAAAACTAGAGAGGCCACGCCCGAGGTAGAGCTCCTCAAGAGTCCATCGACGATCATTAAGGAGTTCGGCCTCGGAGACGACCCCCTAGAGAGCCAAACGAACAGTTCGGACGAGGAAATCACTCTGTTTTCCTCGGATGAGGCGAGTCGCAAGAACAGCGACCTACAGCAGCAACAAGACCTCTTGGAGTTCTGGGAAGACGATATCCCCGACCAACACGTGGGCTGCGACGACAACAAATGTTGCGAGAAATGCTCGAAAAGCGAAATCCGACATGGCGACGAGGTCTTGGAGGTGTACGAGAGCAAATACGGCCGCGGCGAGGCCTACCTCAACCTCCAGACGCGGACGAAAGACGAGCAAGGAAAAAATTCGCCCTACCGCGCCGTCTGCTGCAGCCTGCAATAAACGGAGGTCGCCCTTCTTTATTTTCGCCACCGGCCGCCCGGGAACTGAACTCCGATGGCGGGCGGTCCCAAAAAATTGGTTTCTAGAATACTAAGACGCGATTCAAGCCCAAAGTGCACCGTAGCAATCGCAAAACGCAATAAACTACGCTAAAGTTAGGTTATGTCGCGCGCGCGCCGTCGCCGCTTGTTGAAAATTAATAAAAATAAATGTCGGGCGAAAATTCGCGGGGCGCCCGACGCGGTTTGTAATTTTTAAGATTTTTTTTTTAAATTGTTACGATCCTTAAACAGGTGTTTATAGTTCTTGTTAACTTAGTAAGTAGGGTATCATACAGCAATGTGCCATTTACCATTTGAACGTAGGCGTTTCACGATATTTTAGTCGATTTTTGTTTTATTTTTTTTTTCGCGTTTACTAGTAACATATTATACCTCTTTAGGCGATTAATTGACGTAGGAAACGGTCGTTTTGCTCACGAGTTTAGTCGAGGCAGGCGTTATGTGACTTCATATTTTCGTCTCGCAGACCCTTTGGTCACAAATGGCGTCGACCATATATTTTTATTTGGTCATCTTTTCTTCTTGGATCACAATGTCGTACCTATATGCACTTAGGATCACGTCGACTTTGTATTTTGGCTTGGCAGAATTCAACCCTTTGTTTACAAATGGCATCCACAATACATTTTTACTTATCCATATTTTCTTCCTGGATCACTATGTCCCTATATGCACTTAGTATGATATTTTACAATATTTTCCTGATCTACGCCAACTTGTCAAACCAATTTCATCTTTATATTCGGCCCCAGGGCCAATTTTAAAAGAATCTGAAACACTGACTTCAGAGTTTGCGACATATCCTAGCAAAATATTTAGGATATTGAATTTACTAACTAAATAACTAAATATGAACAGAGGAATCATGCAAGGGGATTCTGTCATAATGGATAGCATTCTAGAAAAACTGCCATAACATTGATTGGGAGAAACGGTGAACATCAAGAAGATGGATGACAACTTCAAATTGATACGAAATCCTTTGAACAGGTGAAAAGCTTCTCATATTTCTAGATGCCTAAAAGATATTATATGGAGGCACATATATCTATACACTGAGAGCAAAGCAACTACTAGATTTAGTTAAACCTATATTAACCTACACGACAGAGCGAGAAATGAAGTTGAATCCAAAATGTGATCAATTGGATTAAAATCAAATGATAAAAAATAAAAATGATAACGAACAATATACTTGTCAAAAGATCCATCAGGATAGGCTTTACTAGATAACCAGGCGATAGCCAACCGTGTTGACAGAAGAACTTGAATTTGTCTTTTAGGGTTTGAGAACACTTGCCTGGTCGCGTTTAGAAACAGCTCATAGAGCACAAGCATTATTCCTAATACGAGTAAATAACCTGTTTGAAAATGTTATCTGGAAAAGACTCTTAAGCTTCAGCAACATATCTGAACATTTTTTTCTCTGATCTTGCAATGCGAATATAGGTACTACATAACGATCAGTAGTAAAAACTCAATTGCTTTGAGAAGTTCTTTTGATTATTGTCAACATCGGTCCCAAAATTCCTACTCACTCTAATTGAAATGCAGGGAAAAAGTGAGGTTCTCTTCTTCTAGTTTCTATGGGGTGGCTTCTCGTGCCACCAAAATTCCTCTTCCACAAAAGGGTGTACCCCTAAGGTACGTCCGGAACTTAGTGTTCATGCCGCTTGCGGGAAAGTAAAGTTATGCTCGACAAATATTTGTTAAAAACTAGATAAATATAATTAAAAATTATGCGAATTTGCGAATGAAGTTAGGACGGAGAATTGCGAAATAAAAATAGGAAGTTGCGTAATCGCCACCACATACTTTCAAGTAGCTTTTAAGTTTGTTCGAGTATTAACTGACAGGTTTTGAAACGGCATCCGCGTGGGGTCGTTGAAATTTAAAAAGACAAAATACGTATGGACCGGGTGTGCACGATTCACGCTACAATTTTCCTTAATAAAATAAATATAGGATATAAAGGGGCGAGCATGATGTTTTTTGTTGTTAGTTAAGTTGTTAAGATTGTTATTTTTGAGATTTGTGCCTTCGCGATATTTGTAAAATAAAGAGAATAAAACACAACTCGAGCAATTCCTTTATTTATTCCCCTACGTGAGATTTCTTTTTTAACAGTTGGCGACGTAAAGATTTTGCAGTTACGGCGAATGCGCGAGGAAATGATTTGTCAATGCGCGATGTTTTTTCTATTATTTACGAAATTGATACTTTTGAACTTGCAAAGAGCATTAGATTCAAAATAAAACCTTCCTCGTTGAATTAAAAAGCTCAATTTCCAAACTTACAACACTGTAAGTAAAGCAAGCCGCATGTTTTCTATTGCCAAAAATTTCATCTTCAAGGACCACCACAAAATATTTTTTATGCTCCCTTCTCTAAAATACCTAATTATAAACTAATCTAGCGTGCGGAAAGTGACACTTCACTAAGTGTTTCTTGTTCTGCGGATCCGAGCGCTTTCGGACATTTCCGGGATATTACTACACGAATTTGGGAGCAATCGAATGTTTTCGAAGACTTTACTGCAGGGTTTGAATTTTGACATTTGTCAATTCTGACGCTCACGTCAGTGAATGTATTCGTGTTGCTTTGGCAAAAATGTACCCAAAAACTAACGGTCGTAGAAAAAACACTCCGCTCGTGCCAAATAAACTCGTGACTCAAATGCCGTTTACTACACTGTTGTTGCATAATATAACAAAGCGAAGTGACGTCAACGTCGTAGAAACAAGCCTAGAACATTTTCCTCTTCTTTTACAATTGACTTCCCGATGGGCAGTCATCCGGGGACATTCGCCCATTTCCGATTTCCGTTGAGGTGTTCTCACTGCGACTGTTAATCGCAAACAAAATTCAGCTAGAGACCAACAAGAACATAAATACATACAAGACAAGCTCGACACTATAAGCGTAAAGCACATGCGTCCAAAAAACTATATATAGCTGTCGCTACGAATTCCATGCTAGAAGGGGGAAACAAATTGGATTTCAAATATATGGGTACAGGAACTTTATTGTTTATAAGGCCTTCAAAAAAAAAACACTTGGAGCTATTCCAATGTCTTGCACATTCAAAAAGGATATGACGCAAATCACCCACTTCCCCGCATTCACAGAGATTCTAAGGCTGCAGGTGGTAGTGATTTTTCTAGGCAACTTTAACTTCCAAAAGCACGATTTCTTCGAAAAGGTTACATGAAAACAACTATATATTTTTCGTGTCCAGGATATCCAATGGTTACTCTTAATATAACTATAAAAGCCAGTAAATTGAGGTTTGAGTTCTACAGGATCTAGGTTTTTGGCAAGATTGGCCACATTATCCACAAAATAATTATTTTTTATACCTGAACGACAAGAAATATTATCTTAACTTTAACATTAAGAGAAATTGAATCCGACTCTCCCTTGGAAGCATCAGCGTAAACAAATGTATAATCACGGAATATCTGCTGAGCACAAAATTGTCGTATTAACATTTTTTGGTAATTCAGAATCGACAAAGTAAATGGGGAAAAATTGGATTGCAAAATCCGTTGAAAAGCAAGGTAAAACATTAGAAGAGTGAATATTATTAGCAAAGCCCTTCACGAGAGAAGGAAAAAATAACCCTAGAAAATAATATAATAGTTTTCACGGCAATAAACTTCCAATCGAATTAATAGTTTTCTAATTTCTACCTTGAACAAGCGTTGAGTATTAATTCCTTTAATATTCCTCGGTATAGATCTGTTTCAATGGTTTGTAGACATGTGCGGGGTCAGCTGGTCAGTTAATGTTGAAAAAAGCTCAAATTTCTACGTAAAAACATTAAACATTCAAAGATGTACGGTAAAGAAACCCATTTCTTTGAACACATTTCAACATTATTCAACCCGGCCTATTTTATTGTTCTTTTTTGCGATAGAAATATCTTGTATCCTTCTGTGACGACCTAAAAAAATTAGTCCTTACTTAAGTACTGATTCAAAGTTAGCAAAATAAAGTATTTTTACCAATTTTTATCAATTCTGTATGACATACTTATATGACATGCCCAGTTCATATTTTTATCAATGAACTTACTCAAAAACTTTTTCTGAAACATCCAATATATTCCCATCAATTTCAAACTAAGTAATATTTTCTAGTTTGAAGATTTTGGTTTTAAAAGATTTTACGTGCATTTTGTTTTTGTTAATAATGAGTTTATTTTGATTAAACCGGTTTTTTGCTCGAATGAAAAAAATATTTCTATCGTTTAACAATTGGTCCATGTTCTTGGCGCAAGTTTGGTCTGAGTCAAGAAACTGGTCATTTATGAAGATTACAAATAAAAGTGGCACCCAAAATACTACCCCGTGCAACCCCATACTCATGTACTTTTGTACCTTTCCAATTTCCATAGAAGTATATGTGTAGAGAGAGAGGACTCCTCGCATAAGCATATAGGGCCAGAGCCCCGCTTGGGGATCGCCTCGTGTGTGAGGCGGGGAGCTCTCGAAGCCTGGGCGAGAGACCGGGCCGCGGGGGGCTGGAGAGTTGCTCCGGGAATGAGGCAGGCGAGGCTTATGACGGATGGGCCCGCCCTTCCTCGGACCAGGGAGCTGCTTAGACTGACCAAAAGGGAGTGTAGAACACTAACAGGGGCTTACACAGGACATTGCAGGCTTAGGAGGCATCTTTGCTTGCTAGGCATTGGAGACGAGCCGGAGTGTAGGTGGTGCATGGAGGGGGAGGAGACCCCGTATCATCTGCTCACCGAGTGTCCTGAGATTGGGAGTTTTCGGAACGGACCTTCTATAGGTATTGGTATTGGTATTGGTATTAAAGGGGGGCGCCCTCTTGGGCGTCCAAGCACTTAGGCCACCAGATGGGCCCGTTGTGCCCCCAGGCCGCTCTAGAGGGCGTCCAGAATGCCGCCCCTCCTATAGAAGGTCAGCAACTCCTTTAGCCCAATACCGTGCACTGAGTCCGGATCGATCAGGGCCGTTCCGAAGACTCCCAATCTTGCCCATGTCAAGGCAGGGCACTCGGTGAGCAGATGATACGGGGTCTCCTCCCCTTCCATGCACCACCTACACTCCGGGTCGTCTCCAATGCCTAGCAAGCAAAGATGCCTCCTAAGCCTGCAATGTCCTGTGTAGGCCCCTGTTAGTGCTCTACACTCCCTTCTGGTCAGTCTAAGCAGCTCTCCGCGGCCCGGTCTCTCGCCCAGGTTTCGAGAGTCCCCCGCCTCACACACGGGGCGATCCCCAAGCGGGGCTCTGGCCCTATATGCCTATGCGAGGAGCCCTCCCTGGCTAAGGCGTCCGCTGCCTCATTGCCCCGGACACCGGTGTGACCCGGGACCCAGACCAACCCTTTCTCTCCTCAGCCACCCTCCTCAGTACCCCTTTGCACTCCTTTATCAACAAGGAGCGCGTACGCACTGACTTCAACGCCATGAGTGCAGCCCTACTATCCGAGCAGAAGAAGACTCTCCTGCTTCCGTAGTTGAGCCGAAGCACCTCTCTGGCGGCCATCAATAAAGCGAAAATTTCCGCCTGAAACACAGTGCAGTACTGACCCAGAGGGACCGACAAGCTTGATCCCGTTGTCTCGCAGTACGCTCCAGCTCCGGCCAGATCTCCCATTCTGGACCCGTCCGTGTACCAGACAAGTCCATCCCAGGAGCCGACTCTGCCCTCTCTCCAATCTTCCCTTGATGGAAAGAGAAAGGTCAATTTATCAATGAAGGTCATCTCGGGGATCAGGACGTCACTCGGCATGCCCATGACCCCGCGATCCCCGCGACAGCCCTCTAAAATGTCGTACGGACGCCGATTGAAGGTTCCCTCCCTCCAGAGCCCGCAGCTCGCCAGCCTCACAGCTGTCCTGGCCGCCTCCATCTGCACCTGATCCGCCAGAGAGGGCAGCCCCACCAGAGCCTCCCGGGCCCTCGTGGGCGCCGTTCTCATGGCGCCCGTTATGCAGGGACAAGCCAATCTCTGCAGTCTGTCAAGAACTAGCCTTGCTCCCGCTCTTTTGGTCCCCGGCCACCATGCTACTGCCCCATGCGTGAGCATAGGCACCACCATGGTACCGTAGATCCACTGCATGATCTTCGGCCCCAGGCCCCAAGTGCCCCCTACCGCTCTCCGGCACGCCCACAGAGCTCCAAAGGCCGACCTGTTCCTTGATCTTATATGTTCCTGGAAGGTCAACTTAGAGTCCAACCATACGCCCAAGTACTTGACACTTCCGCTTGCAGAAAGAGGCACCCCATCCATCCAAATGTTGAGGTTGCACTCCATCTTCCTTTTCCTAGTGAAGATGACCATCTCCACCTTGCCAGGATTGACAGCCAACTTGCTGTCCAGGCACCATTGTGAGAATCTTGCCAATGCCCCGTTCAGAAGCCCCTGCATCCTCCTCACGTCCGTCCCCTGCGTCATTATCACAAGGTCATCTGCATATGCCTGAGCATAGACCCCGTGTTCTTCCCTCAGAATATGCAATATCTCGTTCACCACTAAGCACCACAGGAACGGGGACAAGACCCCGCCCTGTGGACAACCCCGTGATGAACCGATGGAGACCTGCTCCCCACCCAGTCTTGCCTCGACCCTCCTGTCGGTTAGCATGGAGCTGATCCACCTTACAATGGCCGTCCCCACTCCAGTACTCTCCACCGCCCTGCAGATCGAGTACAGGGCCGTGTTATTGAAAGCCCCTTCGATGTCAGCGAACACGCACACCGACAGTCGTCCCGAGCCCACCTGCAGCCCTGCACAGGCCATGAACTCCACGAGGTCTCCCCCCCCGTCTAATCGTTGCCGCGCTGCCCCACAAAACGTGGTGAGCATTGCTGTCACAGCCAATCAAAAGAAGAAGATTCGCCTCCTCGCAGTAGGAGACCAAGTCACTGATCTCCTGCGGAGGACAGCTGCGGTCGCCTGGAAAGTACGCAGAGGTGACCACTACCTCCCTCA